TCTGGTGGGCACTGATGATCTCATCCCCCTCCCCTACCCATTAGGCTGCTCCAGGCTGAGCTGCCCAGCAGCAACACAGCGCAGCTTCGCCCGTGATTCTTAACTATTCTAGGCGTCATACTCAACAATGAAAATCAGTCAATCTTCGGTTGATGATTGACTTATTTTCCAAAATATTATCATTTTAACATGCAACCAATGTATGTACTGTAGAGAAATATTTGACATTCCTTCCTCATAATTTATCTTTGAACTTGGCTGTGCATTTTGCACCAAAGAGCATCTGCATGTGGACTGGCTGCCTAGCAAGGGCTTAATGTGCAAACACACTGCCAGCTTGCAGGGAGTCCCAAGTCCTGGATCCTTGGGCCAGCAAGTAATGTTTACTTTGTTTTATTTTTCAACCTCTGTCTTTTTGACACTGTGGGCCAGAAAATTCTTTGCTTTTGAAAAAACACAAACACTTTCAGTACTGCCCATGACATGGTGAAACCAGCGCTCATAAATGTTGGAAGGAACTTATGCCAGGACACAGTCTAAGCCAGTGGTGGTGTGTGTCAATACTATTAAAAAGTTCATATCATTTGAGCCTATAATTCCTCATCTGCGTATATATCAAATTTAATCAAATATCTAGCTTAGACAGCTGTCAGGGTATTAGCCTGGGACAGTAAGGAGGTAGAGAGAAGGAGCAGGAAAAAGCAGAGAGTCAAGTGCACAGCCAGACCCCAGGGGTCTACACTTCTCCACATCGTCTGGACTGTAGTGCCGGGGTGTGGAGGGTACTGGGACGGAATTTCCATTCCCAAAGATTTCCCTCAGTGTGACGGGCACACAGTGCACAGGGGATGATCCAAGGCCTGAAGAGGCTTGTCTACCAGCTGAAGTGGACTGTGCTAGAGCATTTGGGGTGAGGCTGTTTGTGCTGGGATCCCTCTGAGGAGACATCTGAGTGTCCTTGGACAATGGGAGATGCCTTGGCCAGAACTGCACAGAGAACATTCTGAGGGGAAGAGCCAGCAAGGGCAGACGGTGTCAGGGGGGCAAACTGGCCTGCTGAGCGCACGGAGGAGGCCCGTGTGGCTGGTTCTCAGGCAGGAACCAGACGAGGCAGGTGCTGTAGGAACCATCACAGAGTGAATGCGATGTGAACTCTATTAACCTGGTAAATGCTGGTATGAGGGATGGTTATAGGGCATTAGAGACAATTTGCAGGTGGCCTTCACACCACATATCTCCTCCTATCATCACTCACTCAATCCTATAAGGAACAGGCAAAGGCCTGGGTCTCAGACAAGTAGTTGCGTTCCTTTTACCAAACCTTTTCTTTTCATTTGCAGTGAAGATTGTTGCCAGATGAGATCACATAACAGATGCAGGTTCTTGTATTTGAGGTGTGATTCCTGCTGGCAGCTTACAGGGGGCAGTTCAGATGCTCCCCTGAGCCCTGGCACAAGCCTGTCCCATTTCCAGAATCATCCTTCCACCTTCTCACTGGCTCTGGTTATATTTTACATGCAGTGCACTGAAGACAGAATATGAACCAAAAATACTTCCTGCCATTCTGTCTGTGGATGTATGTTCAAAACATGTTTGTTTCGTGGTGACTGTAGACTTGTGTGAACCTGACACTTGTATCATGTTATAAATCAACTTTAAGTCACTATGGAGTCATAATACTTGTTCAGCAAGGTTTTGTATAACTATGAAGAAACAGGCCTGACTCCTAAGGAACCTTATCTCCTCTGCTCAGGGAAGCCTAGATGCTCTATATCGGGGCACCCCAGTCTGTGTCTACAGCCAGGAAGGCCTGAGAGCTAAGAGCTGTGACCAGAACTCAGCTCCAGGCCTGGCCTCCTGGAGAGGGCGGCTGCTCACCTGCTTGTTTTTCTCAGAAAAATCCTTGGAAAGTGACTCAAGGGCCTATTGGTGGAGAGAAGCCACAGTCCAGTCACATTATCACTCTTTGGAGCTCGTGCGGCCAACTCTTCTGGACCTCAGGACTCTGAGCGTTGAAGGGCCCTGCTCACTGGAATCTCTCCAGGACAAAACACCATATATCTGGTGAGTTAGAACCAGGGACAAGGAGGTGAGTGAGAAGAGGTGATACTATATTCACAGCCTGAAATGCTCAGGCTGGGTTAGTTTAAGGAATAGAAGCTCGTTTTGTCGTAATTGTACCCAAAAGCTTTTCTCCCTAAAGTTCTCTTTAACGAGGGTGAGTTCCTGGTAACTGAGATGAGCCCTGAGGCTATGGGACGAGTGTTGGGGCATCTTTGCCCAGGTCAGGTCTAGAGAATCTTTTGTTCCTGTTCTGCTCCTGGAGTCCAAGCCTCTGTGCTCCCTGTCACAGCAAACCTGCTGACATCCCAGCCGTGCCCCGAGTCCCTCCTGCCACAGCCTCACCGCCCCTGGTAGCTTTTTGATTTTGATAATAGACACTGCACCGTGTGAGGAGATGGATGATGGAGGCTCCGATTGTATCCCCCTCAGGGTTTGTGAGCAAGTGTACAGATACCTGCTGTGTGTATTTAGTCCTGTTCAGAGAATTTTCCATTCAAATCCTTTGCCCAGAAACAAATAGACATATTGGTGTTTTTTTCCCCCTTGTTTTCTTCTTTATTTATTTTGGATACTACACCCTATCAGTGGTGTGGTTTGCACGTTGTGCCCCTTGTGCCGGGTGTCTGCCCTCTGTCATGATTTCCACTGCTGTGCAGAAGCTGTTTTATGCACCCCTGCTTGTCTTCTTCCCTTTGTTGCCTTGTTTGTGAGATCACACCCAGCATTCTCTTGCCTAAAGGTGGTTGTCTAAATGGGTGTTTCTGTGGAGGCCTGAGGGCCGAGTACTCCTGTTCTGTGCCATGTGGGTCAGCTCCCTGGCCGGATAGAACTAATGCAGCAGTAGCTGGTGATAGCTTGATAGAGCTGAGACTCTAACCCCTGCACCACCAGAGAGGTCTGTGTCCTTGTTTATTCGTTGTCTTTTTGGTCTGTCCATTGGTGAGAGTGGGAGTTGAAGTCTCCTGCCACATACATATTTTCTCCAAAATCTGTTTTCAGATTGAACATTATTGTCTAATGTATGTTGGTGCTCCTTCATTTGGTGAGTGGTGAGACACATCAATACTTTCCCCTGGATCAACATATCGTGTCCATCAGTGTCTCGTGTCATCTTTTTTAGTTTGAAGTCCGTTTTATCTGATGTAAGTACGGCTGCCCCTGCCTTGTTTTGGGGTCCATTTGCTTGTAGAATTGTTGTCTAGCCCTTTACTTTCAATCAATATGTACCCTTGGCACTTAGGGTTGTTTCCTGGCTATGGCAGAAGGTTGGGTTCTGTTTTCTAATCAACATGCTACTCTGGGGCTTTTTATTGATGAGTTTTGTCCATTCATTTTTAGGGTGATTGCTGATGTGGAAGTCTGCTCTGCCATTCTGTTCATCATTTTGTGGTTCTGCTCAATACCTTGTTCAGTTCTTCATGTTCATTCCATGTTGGTTTTGATTCTACAGCATCTTACAGTGGGGGTTCAGTAGTAGCAAATTTCTGAAGATTTTGTTCATCTGAGAAGATCCTTATGTTTTCCTCATGTAGGAAAGACAGCTTTTCTGAGTGAAGTATTTTTGACTCACATTTTTTGTCTTGGATTTTTTGGGATGCTAAGATCACTGGCACAGGAGACTCTATGAGGTGAGTAACTAGGTCTCACAAGGTTGTGAGTAAGGCCTCTGTCCTCTCCCAAAGAGCTGGCAACTCAGCCTAGAATAAGGGATTCTCACCTGGGCTTGCTGACAAGCCTAAATTAGAGCCAGGCCCTGTGAGGCCAACCTGGGTACTGATTAGTTAGGAGGTGCTAGTGTCTGAAAACTTGTGGGATTCACTTCTCAATACAGCAGGGGACTCTGGTGAATCCTAGATATTGTGTGAAGTGGGACGTAGGGCCCCTTATAACTACTACCATGGACATCCTTTCCATATGCATCCACTTGATCTAGAAAGACCCATCTCTCCATACAGTATGGAAGTCATTGTCACTCTCTCAAATGATGCAGAAATACCTATTTAATCTCATCTGTAAGCCCCAAATAATTTCTGTAACCCTCTTCTATCTGCTCCTAGAACATGCCAGTTTTTGCGACTATTAGCAAGATTGTAGCAAAAGAAGTTGGAAATAAAGAAATGAAGCATGTCACATGTGTGGATCATGCCTCCTGTGTGAAACTGTATTCCTTATTCGTGGAGGAGAAGTGTTTCTCAAGTTTTTGTAAGAAAGACTATAAACCACTTTCTTTCTCCCTCTTGGATATTCTGGAACCAAGTTCTTCACTACCAGGTATTGTCAATCAAGGCTATAACAGGCCAGCTTGCGAAACAAAGTTATAAGATATAAGGGGCACAGTAACCAACCAATTGAATCACCCTCAAAAGCAGATCGTAGGATCAGCCTTGTCTAAAGACAGTAGACGTGGAGCTATAATTATTTAATAATTACTGCAGCCTGTTGAGCTAAGAATATAATCCCCATTTTACACAAGAGCTAATGAAAGCTAGTAAAATAATTTGTTCTAGTTACAAACCTGGGAATTGGTAGAAATAGCATTAGCTATGTCCATTCATAATGGCTCCAAAGCCTCAACATTTCTGCACAATGTGCTGCCTCCTGGGGCTGATGCTCCTCGTGTTGCAGAGGAGTCACTGGGCCGACAGAGTGACGCACCGTGCCTCCTGGACCAGTGCCCAAGTTGCATCCTTATTGATGAGGATGACGTCATTCTTGCTGTCACCCAAAACTTCAGTGGTTCAAATACTTCCTCTCAGCAGTAATTTACACTAAAACTTTAATTGAATAATTAGCTTATTAACAGAGACAGTAAATGAGTAGGAGGATTAGGCAAAATGGAGTCAGTTATTCCATTTCCATTGCTCTGGAGTTAATTCTTGAGTCAACCTAAGGCCACTATTTCTGTCTCTAGAAACTGATGTGATGGGACCACTTACCCTCAATGACGATGCTCTCAAGACACTGAAGGTTGCTGTGACTGTGGATGCTGTGGTAGATAAGAAAGTTGCAGTGGTAGCTACTGAGTTCCAGGAGTCCTCCCTCCAGTATCAGGTTGTCACCATCCCACCATCTAAATACAAGAACTGCAAAAGAGGTGAGGCCATGGGAGTTAAAGGGGATGGGTCCACAGAGCCCTGGGGTGTGCTCTCCTGCATAGAGCATCTAGCAGGGTTTGTTGTTGAGATGCAGAATGAAGAAAAGGGAAATTTGTGCTTCATTTTTTTTGGATATTCATTCACTCATTCATTCATTAAAATAACAGTAAGTAGTTATCCAGTATATATTTGAGAAAGCAGTAACTATCCACTACTGTGCTAGTGATAAGACAGATAAAAATTTGTGTCATAGGCCTCCCTAATGGCGCAAGGGGTTAAGATGCAACCTATGAAGTTATCCTCAGCCACTGCAGCGCAAGTTGGATCCCCAGCCAGGGAGCTACCCACATGGCACAGCAGACCTCTCCTGTCTCCCCACAGCTCCACTCAGCAGTGTATTTCAGTCAGTCCACCTGTTCTGTTCCCCACTCTGTCTCTGGTGAATCCTCTCACCACCCCCAACACCTCTGGCCTGTACCCCAGTTTTTGTATGCATAAATAAATAAATCTTTAAAAAAAAATCTGTGTCCTAAAGCATATTACACTTAGTGAGACAGGGGACTTTATAGTGAGTGAGGAAATAAGCATTGAAAAAGTAAATTAGCAAAGTCTTAAATTAAGTGAACAAAGACTTTGAAACTCTTTGCTTAAATAAAGTATGTAACCGTGTGCAAGTCTGTGAATGTGGTAACAGATTTCCAAAAATCTGCCATGGTCTTAACAAGGAATCTCTTAAATTGTTACACCTTTTAGAAATAAGATGTCTGTTTAAATAGCATTTATGTGAATATAAATAATTATTAAAAGAAAAATAAAGTTAAAATCTGATTTTCAAGACTACATATGGTAGGATAACTCTCTGCTGGCAAGCCTTCCATTCACGGGTAACTAAAAAAATCAGAAATCACGGAAAGATGTGTCTCACCCACTCTCTCCAGCATTGCTAATGTCCCATGCATCTGTCTCCCTGAGGGGAGTTTTGTTACTCCCCAATATTTTGAAGCACAGAAAGGTGAGGGGGCCTTTGTTACAGTGTGGGCTGTTCCTGGTAGAGGAACAAACTTGGGAAGGTGTAGACTTTCGGTCACTCAGACTGGTACAGAGAACCTCCTGTCAAACTGCATGTGGCTTCCTGAGTGAGCCCCGGGCCAGACTGAGATGTCAGATGAAGCGGCACCGACAGCTCAGCGAGGGGCTTGATGTCCCTGCAAGGACTAGCAGAGAGCAGGGCCCTGGATGCTCAGGACTCCTGCACTGACAGCAGATTAAAAGTTTTGAGGTTTCGACACGGCCGTTGTCTGGGCACCAGTCCCGTGGGATCTTGGGTTGAATCAGGGTCGACTCTCACATCAGAATGGAAATGAAATGTGTCTCCGGGGCCTACTAAACATAGAGCTTCCATATGATCCAGCAATTCCACTCCTCGGTATTTACCCAAAGGACCCAGAAACATCAATTCCAAAGAGCACCTGCACCCCTATATTTATAGCAGCACTGTTTACCATAGCTAAGCTTTGGAAACAACCCAAATGCCCAAAAAAAGATGACTGGATCAAGAAGATGTGGTACATATACACAATGGGATATTACTCAGCATTCAAAAAAGATAAACTCATGGAGTTTGCAGCAACATAGATGGAGCTAGAAGGGATCATGCTCAGCAAAATAAGTCAGAAAGAAAAAGAAAAATACTGGATGGTCCTACTCATAGCAGGAATTTAGAAAACCTAAATAAGGGACCAGTAAAAAGACTAATTAATACGAAGTAAAAATCAAAATCAACAAGCAACTATAAACCAGAGACACACTGTGGGGGAGGGGAGGGACAGGGAGAGGAAGCTATGGGTCAAAATAAGGGGAGGGGTGCAATTGTATGGGGAATATACATTGTGCAAAAATGAAAAATGATGTAAGAATCATATAAAATAAAATAATTTAAAAATAAAATAAAATAATAGTAATAAAAAATAAAAAACAAAAAAGATAGTAATCATATAAAAGAAGAAAATAAAATAAAAGCAGCAAAAATCATTTCTGTAATTATGCATCTCTTAAATTACTTGGGAGAAAAGTAAAACCATCCCTAGAATCACCTAGCATTTGTTAAAAACTCAAATATTAAAAGATGTTACATGTTAAAAAAAAAAAGGAATTATCTCACACAGTGAGGAAAGGATATATGAGAGACATAGAAATCTCAAAAGGAGAAGAAAAAGACAGTGGCACTGAGAAACTCTTCAAGGAAATAATTGAACAAAACATTCCAAACTTGAAGAAGGAAGTAAAAATAGACATGCAGGACACTAGCAGGATGAAAGGACGGGATCTGCGCTACCGCTGTGATGTCCTGAGTTCTGGCCAGGGAGCTAACCCACATGGTGCTACACCCCAGGTGCTCGAAGCAAAAATAAATTTAAAAATTATTCAAGAAAGAAAAACAGAAACACTATGGGAAGAAAAGAATGAAGTGACATATTCAAAAACTGCAAGACAAAAAAGGTGAGTCAAAAATACTTCAACCTGCAGAGCTGTCTTTCCTAGATGAGGAAAACATAAGGGTCTTCTCAGACAAACAAAATCTTCATGAATTTGCCACTACTAAACCCCCATTGCAAGAAATACTACAAGAAGCCTTAGAATCTAAACCAACATGGAATGAACATGAAGAACTGGACAAAGTATGGAGTAGAACCACAAAATGAGGAACAAAATGGCAGAACAGACTTCCACATCAACAATCACCCTAAAAATGATTGGACAAAACTCACCAATAAAAAGACCCAGAGTAGCATGTTGGATTAGGAAACAGAACCCAACCTTCTGCCATCCCCAGGAAACAACCCTAAGTCCCAAAGACAAATATTGATTAAAAGGAAATGGCTAGACAACAATTCTACAAGCAAATGGACCCCAAAACAAGGCAGGGGCAGCCATACTTATATCAGATAAAATAGACTCATACTAAAAAAGGAGACAGAGACACTTATGGACACGATGTATTGATGGGACACATCAATACATACTCACCAAACATACGCTAGATAATTATGTTCCAATCTGAAAACAGATTTTGGAGAAAATATGTATTTCGCAGGAGACTTTAACACCCCACTCTCAAAAATGGCAGATCACAAGATAACAAATAAACAAGGACACAATCATCTTAAATAAAGATCTAGACCACATGGGCCTAACATACATCTACAGAACACTTCACCCAAAAAATAAAAATACACATTTTTCTCAAGTGCACACAAACATTCTCCAGGATAGACCATGTATTGGTCAGAAGACAAATATCAACAAATACATGAAGATCGAAATCATACCAACTAAGTTCTTTGACCATAAAGGCATCAAGCTAGAAGGAACTAGGAAAGAATGTAAGGAACCACCCCAAAACGTGGAGGCTGAAAAACACAATATGGAAAGGTCACTAGATCAATGAGGAAATCAAAGAATAAATTTTAAATTACTTTGAGACAGAAGACAACGAGGACTCAACTTCCCAGAACAGATGGGACACAGCAAAAGCAGTAGGAAGAGGAAAGAATACAGCAATACAGGTCCACATCAAGAAACAAGAAAGAAACAAAAAAACAACCTAACTTCCCATCTCTAAGAACCAGAAAAAGAATAATAAAAGACACAAAAGTAACTAGAAGGAAGGAAATAAAAATCCAAGCAGAATAAATCAAATAGAAATTAAAAGACAATCAAAAAATTAATGAAACCCAGAGAAGGTTGGTTGAAAAAAATAAACAAATGAACAAACCTCGAGCGAGGCTCACAGGAAAAACAGTGAGAAATTGTCAAATAAATATGCTCAAAATGGAAAAAGAAGAAATTACAACAGGCACAGCATCAACCCAGAGGAGGAGAGATTACAATGAGCAATTATATGCAAACGAATGCAACAATCTAGATGAGATGGACACGTTGTTAGAATTATAACAGTCACCCAAGGCTAAATAAACAAGAGATAGAAAACTTGCACAAACCCATTACAAGCAGCAAAACTGAGTCATACACTGTTGCTCTGGCAGAAATAGGACAATTCTGTAGTTCATGGCGATGGGCATGAGGTATTCACATTTAAGAATCCAGAAGCCTCTGTGTTAGGCTGCGTGGATCGGGATTCGCTAGAACATCATGTGAAGAACTTCTCCACCATCAGGGCTCCACAGGTGGTCGGCGGCCTGCCAGGGGCTGTCCCTCGGCTCAGGCACTTTCAGTCTCAGAGACTGAGGTCAGCAAATGCAGAGCAGGAGCATCGGCCCTTAGCCTGCCCAGAAACACCTGTTTGGACAACCACGTTTAGGCAAGAGAACACTGGGTGTGATCTCACAAACAAGGCAACAAGAGAAGGAAACAAGCAGGTGCATAAAGCAGCCCCTGCACAGCAGTAGAAATCATGAGGGCAGACACCGGCACAAGGGGGGAATATTGCAAACCACCCACTGATAGGGCATAGTATCCAAAATAACTAAGGAAGAACACAATAGAAAAAAAAGTCCAAGTATCTCCATTTTTCTCTAGGCAAAGGACTTCAATGGACAGTTCTCCAAACAGGACATAAACACTCACAGCAGGTGTCTGGACACTTGCTCACACCACGAGCCATGAGGAGGATGCTAACTGAAGCCTCCACGTCCATCTCTCACACGGTGCAGTGTCTATTATCAAGAACAAAATGCTACCAGGGGGCCTCCCCGGTGGCGCAGCAGTTGAGCGCTGGGTTGCGAAGCTGCCCGCGGCCTCTGCGGCACCGGTTTGATCCCCGGCTGCTCCCCGGCCACCGGAGGAGGGTCCCACATGGTGCGCAGACCTCTCCTGCCACCCGCTGCTCCCCCCAGCAGTGTACTTCAGTCCTTCTGCCTGCTCTGCTCCCCACTCTGGCTCTGGTGAATTCTCTCACCCTCCAGCGCTTCTGACTGTACCCAGTGCTTGTATAAACAAAACAAACAAACAAATATAATAAATAAATAAATAAAAACATGCCTCTATAAAAAAAAAAAAATGCTACCGGGGCAGCGAGGCTGTGGCAGGAGGGACTCGGAGCACGGCTGGGATGTCAGCAGGTTTGCTGTGACAGGGAGCACAGTGGCTTGGACTCCAGGAGCAGAACAGGAACAAAAGATTCTGTAGACCTGACCTGGGCAAAGATGCCCCAACACACGTCCCATGGCCTCAGGGCTCGCCTCAGTTACCAGGACACCCCCTCGTTAAAGAGAACTTTAGGGAGGGCCTCCCCTGGTGGTGCAGGCTGTTGAGCTCAGTGCTGTATGGCTGGTTACAGACTCTGCAGCGCCAGTTCCATTCCAGCAGGCCAGCAAGGGTCCACATGGCACGGGAGACCTCTCCTGTCTCGCCCGCTGCTCCCCTCAGCAGTGTATTTCAGTCAGTCTGCCTGTTCTGTTCCCCACTCTGTCTCTGGTGAATCCTCTCACCCTCCAGCACATCTGGCCTGTACCCTAGTTCTTGTATAAATAAATTAATGAATTTAAAAAAAAAGAGAGAGAACTTTAGGGAGAAAAGCTGTTGGGTACAATTATGTCAAAACAAGCTTCCGTTCCCTTCACAAACCCAGCCCGACCGTTTTAGGCTGTGAATAAGGTATCACTTCTTCTCACTCACCTCCTTGTCCCTGGTTTTAACTCACCAGATATATGGTGTTTTGTCCCAGAGAGATTCCAATGAGCAGGGCCCTTCAACACTCAGAGTCCTGAGGTCCAGCAGAGTTGGCCGCACGAGCTCCAAAGAGTGATAATGTCACTGGTCTGTGGCTTCTCTCCACCAATGGACCCCTGAGTCACTTTCCAAGGACTTTGTCTAGAAAAATAAGCAGGTGAGCAGCCGCCCTCTCCAGGAGGCCAGGCCTGCTGCTGAGCTCTGGTCACAGCTCTTAGCTCTCAGGCCTTCCTGGCTGTAGACACAGACTGGGGTGCCCCGATATATAGCATCTAGGCTGCCCTAAGCAGAGAAGATAAGGTTCCTTTGAAGACAGGCCTGTTTCTTCATAGTTATACAAAACCTTGCTGAAAAAGTATTTTATGATTCTGTAGTGACTTAAAGAGGATTATAACACAAGTGTCAGGTTCACACACTTCATCAGTCACCACCAAACAAACACGTTCTGATCATGGATCCACAGACAGAGGGGCAGGAACTACTTTTGGTTCATATTCTGTCTTCAGTGCACTGCATGTAAAATATAACCAGAGCCAGTGAGAAGGTGGAAGGATGATTCTGGAAATGGGACAGGCTTGTGTCAGGGCTCAGGGGAGCATCTGAACTGTCCCCTGTGAGCTGCCAGCAGGAATCACACCTCAAATACAAGAATCTGCATCTGTTATGTGATCTCATCTGGCAACAATCTTCACTGCAAACATAAATAAAAGGTTAGTAAAAGGGACAAAACTACTAGTCTGAGACCCAGGCCTTTACCTGTTCCTTATAGGATTGACTGACTGACTATAGCAGGAGATGTGTGGCATGAAGGCCACCACAAATTGCCTCTGATGCCCTATAACCATCCCTCATACCAGCATTTACCAGGTTAATAGAGTTCACATCACAGTCACTCAGTGATGGTCCCTACAGCACCTGCCTTGTCTGGTTCCCGCCTGAGAACCAGCCACACGGGCCTCCTCCGTGCGCTCAGCAGGTCAGTGTGCCCCCCTGACACCCTCTGCCCTTGCTGGCTCTTCCCCTCAGAATGTTCTCTGTGCAGTTCTTGCCAAGGCATCTCCCATTGTCCAAGGACACTCAGGTGTCTCCTCAGAGGGATCCCAGCACAAGCAGCCTCACCCCAAATGCTCTAGCACAATCCATTTCAGCTGGTTGACAAGTCTCTTCAGGCCTTGGATCATGCCCTGTGCACTGTCCCCCCCTCACACTCAGGGAAATCTTTGGGGTTGGAGGTTCTGTCCCAGTACCCTCCACATCCCGGCACCACAGTCCAGACAATGTGGGGAAGTGTAGACCCCAGGGGTCTGGCTGTGCACTTGACTATGTGCTTTCTCCTGCTCCTTCTCTCTACCTCCTTACTGTCCCAGGCTAAGACTCTGACATCTATCTAAGCTAATTATTTGATTAAATTTGACATATTTGCATATGAGGAATTATAGGCTCAAATGATATGAACTTTTAATAATCTTGATACCCACCGGCACTGACTTATATTATGTCCTAATATAAGCTCCTTCCAACATTTATATGAGTGCTGGTTTCACCATGTCATGGGCAGTACTGAAAGTGTTTGTGTTTTTTCAAAAGCAAAGAATTATCTGATCAACAATGTCAAAAAGGTAGAGACTAAAAAATAAAATAACCTTTCTTTACTGGCCCAAGGATTGAAGTCCTAGGACTACGTGGCAGCCAGGAGCCTGTGTGCATATTAAGCACTTGCTACTCCAAATGCAGATGCATTTAGGTGCAAAATGCACAGCTGTGTTCAAAGATCAATTCTGAGGAAGGAATGTCAAATATTTCCCTACAGTACTTACATTGGTTACATGTGAAAATGATAATATTTTGGAAAATAAGTCAATCATCAACCCAAGTTTGACCTATTTTCACCGTGCAGTATGACGCCTGGAATAGTTGAGAATCACGGGTGAGGCTGCGCTGTGTTGCTGCTGGGCAGCTCAGCCTGGAGCAGCCTAATGGGTAGGGGAGAGGGGTGAGATCATCAGTGCCCACCAGAGGGGAACAGCAAGAGCTGGGCTAGACCCCCACCCCAATATCCATCCTCAGGCTCTCCCGTTGCTCTTCCCTGGTGAGCTCCTCTCCTCATGTCCAGCGTTTCCTTCTCCTTCCCATTCCGTGGAAAATCATCAGAGACCAAAGGCGGGGGTTGCTCCATCACCTCCTCCTGCCACTCACACAGGCCCCTGGGTCTCCTGCTGGGATGGTCCTCACAGGAGAACACGCATCACAGGGGTTCCCTGGCTACACAGCAGGCACTGACGCGTGCAAAGGGCCCCCCATAGGTCACCCCTTCTGCACAGCACGGGCTCTGAGAATCCATGTTCCTTTTGCCGTTTTTGGAAACATGGATGACTCTACACACACTTTCCCCCCATTCCTATCACGTGTGAAGAGGACGCCCCAGGGTGCTCGCTCAGCAGGGGAGGAAGAGCAGAAATCAGCCCCAGTTGGAGGCACAGGGCGGGGCAGGCACTGGCACCCCGGGCAGAGCCTCTGAATGGCCCAAAGGGGCATCGGCTCAGCAGGAGTGAATGTTCTCACCTGCCTGTGTCAGGCGCCTGCTCGCAGTGGCCACGTTGAGTCTCTTTTTAGACGTGAAGATCTGCCCGCGGGGCAGGGTCACCCCCAAGGCCCGTTCCCCCCGTGGCCTTCCTGTGCCGGCCGGACCAGCAGTGTCCGGAGGAAGAAACCAGCCAGAGCGGCCTGGCATCTCCCGCAGGCCCCCCCAGAAGGCAGGACGCGCCCGGACAGTGTTTCTGGGCACATTTGTACATTCTGCTGCCTTCTGATATTCTTAAATGCCCCATGTTTCCCTTCTCCCCCTGGGAACCCCGTCTTTCCTCCCTGGAAGACAAGGATGGCAGCTGACCTTCAGCACATCACCCTCACACGGAACATTTTCCAAAACTGAGTTTGACTTTCTAGACCTTGCATTGCGGAGACTGAAGGAAACAGCCTGAAGCACATGCACTGCTCCCCTGGCACCATCATCTGAGGCCCTCTTGGGGGCACCCTCTGTGACTGACAGGACCCTGAGCTCTGGGGTGGGGGGAGGGGGGCCACCTGTGATGGGGGCCCTGGCAGACCCCTCCCATGTGTGCCCCTCCCTTCGCTGATTCTGATTTGTAGCTTTTGCTGTTAAAAAAATGTTGAGGGCCTCCCTGGTGATGCAGGCCATTGAGCACAGCCCTGTGAAGCTGTCCACTGCCTCTGCAGCGTGGGTTCGATCCCGGCAGCCCGCGAGAATCCCACATGGTGTGGTAGACCTCTCCGCTGCTCCCCTCAGCAGTGTGTTTCAGTCAGGCTGCCTGTTCCCTTCCCCGCTCTGTCTCTGGTGAATCCTCTCACCCCCACAACTTTGGCCTGTACTCCAGTTCTTATGTGCATAAATATATCTTTAGAAAATAATTTGAACTACACATGTAGCCCTTCCACTGTGCATGATGTCTGGACTTTGGAGGACACTGGAGTCCCTGAAATTGTAACCAGAGTGTCAGCAGGGAGGGCAGCGCTGGCTAATTTTTGCGCTGGTGTCGGAAGTGAAGTCAGCCATGGGGGGAAGTTCAGCCACACTCCAGAGAGTTAGTATCAGAAAAATGGGTATTTTTCCCCCTGGAAAATAACGAGAAAGACCATGACTCGCTGAGGGAGTGTCTGGGAGAGACGGGTGAGAAGGGACAGCAGGAGGACGCAGGGCCTGGTCCCTCGTCCCCAGGGTAGGAAACCGCCTTGTGCTGAGACTGTCCCTAGAGGGGAAGCGTCCAGCGGGATTGTCCGTGACGCGTCCGGGATCGGAGCCGGCTCAGGGGACGCCGAGGAACCTGCACCGTCACGAGGAAACTGTGAACTCCCCAGCCCTGGCCGCCCAGCGCGGCGAAGACAGAGTCAGGAAGGGCCAAGTCTGGCCCCGGCCGGAGACCAGCACCCCCTGTCTCGGGCCCCAGTGGGGGGCTGTCTGGGCAAAGCCCCACTAGATGTGGGTCCCCTTAGGATCCGGCCGGTGAGGAGCAGCCGCCACCCTCGGCCACTTCCCGAGGGCAGAGTCAGGTGCAGGGACGGCCCGTGGGGGACGAGACTGACTCTGGACACGGGAAGGGGCTGGGGGTGATGAGGGAAGGAGGGGAGACGAGGCCCGAGTCTCAGCAGGGGGGTCTGGCAGTGTGATCAGGAGATGAGGGACCTGAAGCAGGTGATGGGGAGGCCAGGACAGGAGCCAGCGCCGCCTGGGGGAGCCTGGGCTGGACACATGGAGCCCACATTGAGTGAAGGTCCCCAGCAAGGAAGATCCCAAAACAGTCAGCTCCACTCCCCCTAGTGTGGGGAGTCATGAAGCCTGTGAGCAAGCAAACCGGCCAGTGGCTCATCACCCAGAAGGTCAAACTCGGAGCCACAATTTGTCTTTTCACAGAGGAGCTGGTTCAAGGCGGCCACCAAGGCACTCAGTGGGATTGGAACCCTGACACCCAGCTCCCCAGGTGCCAGGAGCCTGGGACTATATAAGGGGGGTGGGGAGGGAGGGGGTGCAGGATGTGAAGTGGGTAGGTGGGCTGGTGGGAGGGGTGCAGGATGTGAAGTGGGGAGGGGCAGGAATGAGGGGGTACAGGATGTGGAGTGGGGAGTGAGCAGGAGGCAGGGGTGCAGGATGTACAGTGGGGAGCTGTGCATTTCCAGGTCTGAGGTTGGCTGGGCAGTCCAGGTATCATGGGGGTTGGGGTTTGACACTCTCAGCAGGGAGTGTCTCCTCAGGGTCAAGATCAGACAACAGTCAGCAGATACTTGTTTCTGATATTCTCACAACCTCCTGGCAACACAGAGGATTTCTGTCACAGGTGTAACACAATCAGTTTACCAAGTTCCAGGAATTGCAGAGGGAAAGCAGTGTGCTAGTTGCAAGTTGAAGATTAATCACAAGGAGGGCGTGGGGGAGAGAATAAAAGTTGGTTTGACTTTGGTGCTTTCAGTCCTAATATTTAGTCTAAGGGAGATTTTGTTACCAAATGGAGGTGACCCAGGCACAGCCTGACCTCAGATCCCCCGGGGCTAAGGTCCCACAGTCTAGTCAGCACAGCCATACCCAGGAGGGCCGGGAGCCGCAGGGAGTTGGTCTCAGAAGCCATTTGCTTAGAAGGAAAGGCTCCTAATGGATAAGTGAGAATTTTGTGCTCCCTTCGGCAGCACATATACTAAAATTGGAACGATAAGTGAGAATTTCACACAGGAATTTAAAACACTGGAGATGGGATGGAGCCCAGATCACCCGTCCAATATGCTGTCACGTGGAGGGGGCTGGTGATTGTGCTGAGCCCCTGAGGCACTGGATCAGGGCTGCATTTGAGTAAATCCCCTTGGCTGCTGTGATGCCAGACACCAGGCACCGAAGGGACCTGAGGAGAAGGGGAGAGGGAAATCTACTCCCCCTCACTCTCCCCAAACACCCCTCCCCAGCGCTGAGTGACTCCCAATGTTCTCTGATGGTCTGGGCCATGGACAGGAGGACCCTGTGCCATCAGCTGAGCTGGTGAGGAATCCCCAGGGCCCAGCATCCGGGGAATGGACAGGGAGGCAGAGAGAAGAGTGACTCTGAGGAAAGAGAGATGATGCAGTTTCTGCTGGGAGGGGAGACCCCATCCCAGTGTGGCCCCTGGGAAATCCCAGCTCTTGTTTCTTGCAGTGCAGGCCCAGTGGGTGTGAGTGTCCCGGTTACCATGGGAACTCCTGGAGAGGCACCCCGGAGTTCTAAAATAGTCAAGCAGAGATACTGGCCTGAGGAGCTCAGGACTCGGGTAGTCCCCCACTTTACTTACATACTTTCCTCTTAAATTGCCTTTTTTAACTCCATGCATGTGTATATGAGTCCACAGGAGTGTATAGAATTATACATACACATTCACTCACAGCACACATGGACATGCACACACACGATCCCAAACACAATTGTCAGTAGCTCCACTGAGCTACTCAGGACCCGGATCAATGATTTCCAGTAACATGTGTCCAATCAGTTGAGCACAAGTTATGACCAGGAGGGACTCCAGGTCCCCATGTATCCAGAACTGTCTTTCCTGCATTACACTGCATTACCCCTCACTGTGGGACAGAAGTTTTCCTCTGCCCTACCAGAAGACTGACCTGTAACATTGTAAGGTCAGGAATGGCCACAGTGCCGGTTTTCTAATCTAGCAGACCAGGTAAAGGAGGAGTCAGAGTACTCAGAGGTTTTTGCAGGTCTTTTTATTGGCATTTACCTGGCACACAGCAGGCAGGGGTGCTGGGGGGCCGGGAGGCTGGCAGGCCTCCCAGCCCCCAGCAAGTCTTCACTCTATCTGGGCTCTCTGGTGTTCTCTGCTTCTCTCTAGGCTTCTGCTGCTGGCATCCCCGTGACGCCGCCCTTAAAAACCCGCCTCAGCCCAGGTGAATCCCATCTACCTATGCCCACACCTTACTCCAGGTGCCGCCATCAGGCATGCATTCAGGACCGCAAAGATCCATCATCTATCCTGATGGCGGGAGGGGAGAAAAGCCTGACATTTTTCCTTACCCTACAAACATCTTATGCCATTTCTTCTAGTAAGAAGCATCCTGGAGCCCAACTTCAAGTAGCAATAGAGGGATGGCTGAACTTGCAATTTGACAAGGGAAGCCTCACTGAGCAGTGGCATTGTGTAAGGGCAGGACTGGACACGGTGCAGGTCTTCGGGTCCAGCTGACGGGTAAAGGAGAAGTCAGAGTCCTCAGTGGTTTTTGCAGGTCTTTAATTGGGGTTCACCAGGCATATGGCAGGCAGGGGTGCTGGGGGGCTGGGAGGCTGGCAGGCCTCGCAGCCCCCAGTAGATCTTCACTCTGGGCTATCTGTATCTTTATGTGTGTTTACATATATTCATAGACGTGAACATATATACACGATACCCGTGTGCACATACACTCATAACATACACTCATCTCATTCCTTTATATGTATATTTACATTTTAACACAACTTAAGGGGTCAGTTTTTATTCAAAACAATTTCTGGATTACAAAATATTTCAAGAATAAAAGAGAATTCTAGTCTATCTTACAGCCATTTCCCATATCTTCAACACGTTCCACATTTCCTGGTCATATAAATCTCTTCTACATGAATCAATAGACGTGATTTTTTTTAAATATTTATTTGTGCAAAGGAAAATGGGATGAAGACCAGGGGTGTGAAGGGGTGAGAGGATTCACCAGAGACAGAGTGGGGAGCAGAGCAGGCAGATCTACTGAAATGCACCCCTGAGGGGAGACAGGAGAGGTCTGCCACGCCATGTAGGTTACCTCCCTGGCCGGGTATCGAACTCAGGCCACAGAGGTGATGGCGCTGAGACTTAACCCCTAGCCTACCAGGGAGACCCCTACACCTGATTTTCTGATGCATTTCAAAGTAAGTTATAGTTATCAACACAATTCACTGGAACCACTTCACAATTCATAGTCACTAAAACTCAACATCAGTTTACACTGTTTCAAAGTAAAATTTACATGCAATGAAATGCTCCATTCCTCCGGATACTATGGTGAGTTTTGACCAATAATGAATTGGGAGCAAGGCAGATTTTCCATCACCCCAAAATGTTCCCTCATGTCCCTGTTGGTCCAACCATGAAAGGCAGAGAGGCGGGGCCAAAACACCCTGAGCCCACAAGGATACCACAGCACAGATGGGTGGGGTTGACCTCCCTGGACTCATTGCACCCCAGGAGAGCTCAGGCCTCACTCAGCTGCTGCAGCAGACACAGGGACATATACAGGGAAGACAGGGGCTCCTTGGCTCCCAGATCCCAGTTGGACCTGGGGTTATTCAGCTCCATCCTCAGCCCACACTCCTGCAGCAGCCCATAGGTGATGGCCACACCCTCATCCTGCAGTGGGGCGAGGAGCTGCGGGTCCAGGGTGAAAGGAATGCACCCAGGGTAATTGAAGTTGGGCTCCAGGATGCTCCGTACCTAGAAGTAATGGCGTAAGAGTCCACGGGTCAGTCTTTGAGTAAAGAAGAGGAAAACTTCTGTCCCAACATTGAGGAATGACACAGGGTGATGGAGGAAAGAAAGTGCTGCTTATGGGGACAGGACTCCATCCTGGTCCCGTCTTGTGCTCACTGTGATCTTGCACACACGTTACTGGAAATTACTGATCATGGGTTCCTGGGTTGCTAACTGGTGAGACTAACATACTAACACAACAAAGGTATCAGAAATTGTAGGTGTGTGTGTGCATGTGTGCAGTGTGTGAATGTGTATGTATAATTCTATACACCCCTATGGACTCACACATACAAACACGCAGAAAAAGCAATTTAAATGGGAACTATGTAAGTCAGGCGGGGGTATTCCTCAGAGCCCTGAGCTCCTAAACCTCTATCCCTGTTCGACTGTTTTAGAACTCTGAGGCCTCTGCAGTGGTTACCGGGAAACTGAGACCCACACACCCACTGTGACTGCTCTCCAGAAGGACATGAGCAGGATTTCCCAGGGGCCACACTGGGATGGGTTCTCCCCTTCCAGCAGAAACTGCATCATCTCTCTTTCCTAAAGTCACTCTTCTCTCCTTCTCCCACCCCCTCCCCTCTGGATGCTGGCCCTGGGGATTTCTCACCAGCTCCCGCTGATGGAGCAGGATCCTCTTCTCCATGGACTGGGCCAGCAGAGCATGTTGGGTGTCACTCAGCACTGGGGACAGAGGGTGTTTGGGAAAAGAGTGAGGAGTCAAATACCCCACAACAGGGTAACCTAGGAAACCCCATGAGGGGGGGCCCCCATGGTAGCCTAAGAGTTAATTCTCAGGGTTATCAACACCATGGCACAAGTTCGATCCCCATTCAGGGAGGTTACTCACTTGGTGCAGCAGACCTCTCCTGTCTCGCCCTCTGCTCCCCTCAGCAGTGTATTTCAGTCAATCCACCTGTTCTGCTCCCCACTCTGTCTGGTGAATATTTCCAGCCCCCTCTCCACACTTCTACATGCACCCAAGCCTTGTTTGCATAAATAAATAAAATCTTCTAAAAATATATTTAAAGAAAAAGAACCCAGAAGAAGAACTCTAGACAGAAATATAAAACCTACTAAGTTTTTATTAGTGTAAGTTCCTGTCCTCTGAGTCTTCCTTCTGCTTTCCAAGGTGCTACGGTCATAGTCTCGATGGTGGGATTCTGAGGCTGGAGGCTGGAACCCCCCACCCCAATGAGAAGGGGGATGAACTTGGGCTGGTCTGTCTAGGTCAAGTTTCATGTTACATGACTAGTTTACCTCATGGGCCCCTCTGAGTGGCGACCACTGTGAGGATGAAAACCATATTCATCAAAGTGCTTTGGAGAGGGGGCAGCTAACAAAGTCTTTATGGGGTTCTGGACACCAACCCTGAGGCTCTCCCACAGCCCCTAAAATCACTCTCACCCATTATGGCTTCAAGCAGGTAAAGGATGAGTTCCCCTGCGTCAACATGTGGATCTTCTGGGATCCTTGCCAGCTCATCCAGGATGGTGGCACCAGGGCCATTCAAATGACCTAGGGGCTTCTCCTGGCCAAGCTGCAAAAGGCAAGGATGATGATGATGAAGATGATATTGTCATATGATTTTGATAATTTTGCCTATGTTATGATCTAGAAGTTATTAACCAAAAATTGGGTTAATGTCTTTCTCTACCCCCCTCCAAGTGATACCAAGAACCTGCACTGTGTGGGCAGCATAACCCTGGCCCTCTCATTCCCCTACTATTACTCCCAGTCTCCTGCCCTCTTTCTCCTTCTGGGCAGCCATATCTCCTAAACACACACCATTTGCAGGTTTGATCAGCCCCAGACAGCTGTGGTGCCCCCTCACCATGTCCATGAGGTCCTGCAGAGCCTGTCGGTCCCGCAGCATAGCTTGGATATTAACAAATATGATGCCCTGAATCTTCCTTGACAGCGAAGCCACTTTCCTCACTCTGATGGAAACCTCTTCTGTCATGCGCTCGAAATCTGTCATCCAGGACATGGAAATAACTCTCAGGTTAGAACATTCCTGGGATAATCCTGTACCCATTGATATGAGCGAAACTCATCTGTTTTCAAATGTTAACAAAAAAGCATCTCTGTGGGTGATTTGTTGGAGCTCCAGAGTAGAGGTGTCAAACTAGGCTAGAAAGAGGAGGATACAGCTGAAAAGAGGGGGGCAGACACTGGGAGCAGAGATGGAGAATCTTAAAGGTGTCTTGGGATATGTAAGAAATGTGCAGGGACTCCTGTATGGGATCTTTCTGGAATGATGAGGATTCCAGCCTTGGGCTGTAGAGATGAGAGTCTTCCCTGCTCTGGACTCGGTTTCCACATCTAAAATGAGGCTGTGGTGCCTTCCTAGTGGTGCAAGGGGTAAAACACAGCACTGTGAAGCTCGCCACAGAATCTGCAGCAGCAGTTCCATCCCTGGCCGGCCAGGGAGTTACCACATGGCACAGCAGACCTCTCCTGACTCGCCTGCTGCTCCCCTCAGCAGTGTATTTCAGCAGAACAGTTTGTTCTACTCCCCACTCTGTTTCTAGTGAATCCACTCACCCCACACACACACCTCTGGCCTCAAACCCATTTCCTGCATGCATAAATAAATAAATCTTTAAAAAATTAAAATAACTGAAAAAACGAGGCTGTGGTGACAATCACTGGGGTGTCAAGTATGGGAAGCACATGCAGCAGCACCAGCACACACCGCACCCTACAGATCACACTTGCCTCTGTATCTTCTGAGTCTATAAGGAATTAACTTCTCCCAGAGCACCTGAGGGTCCGAACCCACAAGACCCTGGTGCCCAGATCGGTGCCTGTTTTCCGACACAGCCTCATCAGGGTGGCAGGACTGAGTGTGGATGAGGGAGGATGGATGAACAGATGAGGGATGTGACAGTGTGTACATGGAGGAGAATTCAGTTGTCCAAGTGGCAGGAAGCTCCAGGGGTGTCAGCCTGTCAGTTTCCACCCAGAAGCCCAGGTTCCCTCTTGATAAACACTCACTTTGTCCGAAGGGTTCCTCTATGCCTCCTGGAAAGAGAAATAAACCATCATGTCTCATACATTCTCAAATTTGCTTGAGACACTGTGGAGGGTTTGCACTCCCAATGACCGCGCCTCCCTCCTTGCTTCACCTCTTCCTGCCCCATCAGGCCCACCCTCCCCACCCTCAGCCCCAAGAGCCCCCTGGACAGGGTGCTGGGCCAGGCCCAGGGCAGTGGTGCCAAAGGCAGGAACAGCTGCCGGGCGCAGCTGATGGTGGCAGGAAGGATTCCTCCCCCAACCCCACCACACACTCACCTATTGTGGGGATGGGACAAATAGGATGATATTTTATTTCTAGAAGAGAAATTAAATTCCCAGCCCAAGAATTAGTTCAAAGATACTAGGTTTTTCTGCTCTTCTGCCCCTGCTTCCCCACCCCTCCTCTCTACCTGCTGCTGCCCATCACCCAGGGGACCAGATCCCAGTGCCCTGGGAAGGAGGCCACTGCAAGCATGTGGGGGTTCTGTTGTGCAGTGCTGAGTCCTGTGGGTTCAGATCCAAATCGCCTGGCACAAAAACAACTAAATGCACACCTCTGCCCTGTACCCCAGTTCTTGTATGCATAAATAGATAAAATCTTTTTAAAAAATCACTTACCTAAAGACCAATTACTAACATTCACTGGAAAGGTAAAAAAGAAGGGCTCACTCAACACATACACACTCGCACACACACAGGTGACATCTCACTGTTATGCAGAAAAAGCTCATTTTTTATGTGTTTTCCAGGGTCCTGCTAGTGAAAATAAGGGAGCTGGCAGGCTGTACAGGAGGGGCTGGTTAACTGTGGGGAGGGGACTGAGCCACTGAGGCTCTGGTGATCACCCTAAGTATCTCTGGGCGCACAGGGTCAAGGTCAAGTCAAACATACCTAGTTGGGAACTCACCTTCTTCTGGAAAGCTTTCCCCCTTGTCATCTAAGTCATCAACAATATCTGAAAGGAGAAGGATCCAGGTCAGGAGAGCCAGGTCACCCTGCTGGAGGCTGCCCCACCCCTACCCGCAGCCCAGTCCTCATCCTACAGGCAGCATGGCAGTCATCCCAAAGGGATTGGGCACCCCTGATCAGAGGCACTGAGGTGCTTCTCACAACTCAGAGCCCCTGACCTCACTCTGGACCTTCTGGGTCTGACTCTGAGAAGACCCTGGGATCTGCACCCACGGGTGCCCCTTGCTCCACCAGAGACCTGCCTGTAGGGGGAGGGTCTGCTCCCCCCAACCCCTTGCAGGGCTGGCCCCTCTGCCTGGTCCCTCTCTCTCCTGAGTTCCTCCCTCATGTCCTCCCCCACCCTGCCAGCTTCTCAGGTGGTTTCAAGGCCCACACAGAGAAATGTCCAGAGGCTGAGACATGGCTCCAGAAAGTGATCACAAAAGACAGAGCCATGGAAGGAGACAGAATGAAGACAGCCCAGGAAAGGAGCCCAGAGATCACGTCACCCCTTCCAGGGAGAGGAGCGTCCAAGCAGGCCCTTCCCAAGACATGATCTCCGGGGTGAACTGCAGCGGGTGGAGGCAGGGAGGCCGGGAGGGAAGGACACAGTATGTGGAGATTCTTTACGGACTTGGCCATGAAGGGAATTGGTTGGCAGGAGGAGGGATAACTCGAGGGCTATTGGGTGAGGGGCTGTGAGAAAGCAGAGCCCTCAGCCAGGTTAGGTCATGGGGAGGATGCAGGAGGCTGGGGGCGGAGACCGCTCTATGCCAGACACTCCTCTCTAACTCCCCCCACTCTGCAGAGCAGGTCTCATTTCCGAGTTAGAGAGAAGACGGCCCCAGAGAGTCTGATGTTCTCCACAGTCACACAGCAAATATTTGCAAATCACTGAACTGGCTGCACTTTATTTTCCTCTCTGATTTCTTGTAGGGATGAAATCAGATCAGTGAGCCGGTGTCCGCCTCCCCTGTGCATGGTAAAGTCTCCTTCCCTTGCTTATCAGCATGAAGCTGTGCAACAGCAGCTGGCCCCGCCCCCTCATGGGCTGTCCCTGCCGCCGTGCTGCTGTGGGGGCCTTTAGCTTCTCTCAGCTCACTTCCGCACACTTGCAAAACATGCTGCATAATTGTACTTCTTCCTTCTCCCTCCCTGACGACGTGGCACTTTGTCATACACCATGACCATAAAGCACAATCATCTCCCGCTGCCTCTGCAGGGGTCTCTGACCTCCCCTAAACTGGGGACACCATCCTCCTCTCTAGCCCTCAGGAGGGCCTTGCTCTGGGGAGGGCTGGACTTTCCCCAGAAGCAAAAGACACTGACCCTGCAAGACCAGACAGTTCAAGATCTTTCTATCCAATGTCACTGACAGGGGGTAATTGACAGCAGGACTGACCCTGACCAGATGCTGCAATCAGGATTCTCTAGAGGGGAGCGGGGGGCAGTGGGGAGAGGACACCCCCTCATCTCTGAGGAATCTGCCCCCAGTTCCCTCAGGCTGACCTGAAGTTAGGACCTACATGAGGGAATGCAGAGCCCAAGGAATGTGAGCTGGTGGGTTTGCAGCCTTCACGTCACCCAGATTGCACACTTGCTTTTTGATGAAAGCAGTTCACACATGTGGGGTCAGAACCCAAGTGAGTGTGCTGAGGACTGTCGATTCAGGCTAGTCAAGGAGGAAGAGATTCCGGTAAAATCCTTCCTGGGTGGTTGTGGCTGTAGTCTACAATGTCCGTGATTGTGCTGGTGTCTTGCAGGCTTTTACTTGGGGGCTGTGGGTAACCCCATAGAGGGAGGATCCTGGGGCTCCCCAGTGAGCTGCTAAGAAAAAGGCCCTTGAGGGAACAGAGATGGTCTGCACAAGGGTCACGTTTGCCCAGTGCTAACCACAACCCCATGCTGAGCACCCGTTTTTCATTCTTCACACCGTCTCGGTCTCCCTGCAACAACAGTTCATCAGGCCATCCTTGAAGGGAGCCCAAGGTGTGTGCTCCAGACAGTGGTAAAGGGTGCTGACAGGCCGCGAAGTCATGTTTCATGTGGATGTTCTTTTCCTCTCATTTTTCTTACCAGCAGAAACACAACCCACCCCTCGGAACATGTGCATCCCTCAACCTCTACTTACCCCAACCATCATTCCTAAAAACCAGCAGCTTCTTCTTGTAGGCCATCACCATGCCCTTCTGTAGACTCAGCACCAGATTGCTCTGCTTTTGGTACTTGCCTTTTCCTTCACCCTGGGGGCAGAAGTCCAGGAACATGGTCAAATATACACATGGTTTTTAAAGTCAAGAAGATCTGGAAAAGAGGCTGGAAGTCATCATCCACCCTAAAAACAAGGAAAATCCTGAGGAAGGAAAATCACCAACAACTGTTCTTAGATCTGTCAGGAGAGTGGCTCCATTGCAGAGGATCACAGTGTCCCCAAAATTGGGGAGACCAAACAGTAGGGGAAGAAGATCACAATGTACCAGAGCAAAAACCTCCATGTGAACCACGGTCAAGTTAAAACTCCCATTCATTGCTGGTCAGAATGCAAAATGGTGCATCCACTTTGGAGGACACCGTCCTCCAAAAAGTGATTCCCTAAAAAGTAAACATTATTCTCACATTTAAAACCTATCATGTTCTTTATTATTTACTAAAAAGGCATTGAAAATTTGTCTTACAAAAACCACCACATGGATGTCTATAGTCAGCTTTATTCAGAAGTGCCAGAACTTGGAACAACCAAAGGTGGATGATAAACACTGGTGTATCCAGACAATGGAATATTATTCACCACTAAACTTTTTAGTTCTATGCCAGAAATAAAGGTGATTTAGGGACCACCACTGTATTTCAGTATAACAGAATTCTATATCTCTCTCTATATATTTACCTTTAAAATAGAATTCCTTATTTCTTTTTCTTTTAAAAGGATCATTTTCTAGACATATTGTACTTGGTTGGCAATTTTTTATTCCTCTGAGCACTTGGCCTATGCCATCCCACTTACTTCTGGACTGTAGATTTTCTTCAGAGACCTGGGCTATGATAACTTGATAGACAATTCTCCCATGATTATTTTCTGCCTTACTCTAATAGGAATGTTTCCAAAGAATTACAGCATTGAATGAGGTGATCTAATGATTTGGGACAGGTTATCATATACCCATTATCAATCTTAAAATACTCGGGTACATGGATACATTCTTCATTGAAAGATTTAGATTCTGCAATTTTAAAGATATAAGATAAAATAAGGAATATTTTATGAGATATCTGAGTAATATTCCATTGTGTATATGTACAACATCTTCTTGATCCAGTCACCCATTTTTGGGCATTTGGGTTGTTTCCAAAGCTCAGCTATTGTAAACAGTGCTGCTATAAACGTAGGGGTGCAGGTGTCCTTTTGAATTAATGATTCTGTGTCCTTTGGGTAAATACCTAGGAGTGGAATTGCTGGATCACATGGAAGCTTCATCTTTAGCAGGTTGAGGAATCTCCACACAGCTTTCCATAGTGGAATATTACTCAGCAATCAAAAAAGATAAACTCATGCAATTTGCAGCAACATGGATGGAGCTGGAAGGGATCATGCTCAGTGAAATGAGCCAGAAAGACAAAGAAAAACATTGGATAGTCTCACTCATAGCAGGAATCTAGAAAACCTAAATAAGGGACCAGGAAAAAGAATAACTGTAAGAAAGAAAAAAATCAAAATCAACAAGCAACTGGAAACCGAGACACACTATGGGGATCGTGAGGAGAGGAGGGATTGGGGTCAAAATAAGGGGGGTACAATTGTATGGGGAATATAAAAAAAACTAAAAAAAAAAAAGAAATGACTGTAAAAACAAGAAGGCAATGTACTGACTGGGAGAAGATATTTGACATCATACATCCACAAAGTGTTCATTTCCAAAATATATAAAGAACTCAGACAACTCAACAACAAAAAACACAATAAAAAAATGAGCAGATGATTTGAAGGGATAATTCTTTAAAGAAAACACACAGATGGTCATCAGGCACATGAAAAAATATTTAATTTCATCTATTATGGGGGAAATGTGAATCAAATATGAATCAAAACCATAATGAGATATCATCTCACACCTGAGAGAGAAGCTTATATCAAAAAAAATGGAAAATCAAATGTTGGCAAGGGGACAGAAAAAAAGGAAACTTAGACAACATTGATGGGAATGTAAATTGATACGTCCTCTATTGAAAATGGTATGGAAATTCACTAAAGAAAAAAAAGAAAGGAAAAGAAACCCCAGAAGGACCAGAAATACCACTCCGAGCCATTGATCCAAAGCATATGAAAGCACTAATATGAAAATTTTTGTGCACCCCTATGTTCACAGCAGCATTACTAATAATGATGAAGACACAGAAACCACCTAAATGACCACTGATGGATGAGTGGATTAGGAAGTTGTAGTAGACACACTCAGTTCAAAAAGATGAAAACTTGTGTTTTATTGCAACATGGGTGCAACTCAAGGTGATTGTCCTAAGCAAGTCAGTCATAGAGGAAAAAACAATTACCAAATAGTTTTTCTCATATAAAGGATAGAAACAACCAAAGCAAACATAACAATACACAATTAAAAATAACTCTTAAAAATATGGTGGATAAGGAGGATCGCGGGTGGAGGACATAGGAGGAAAAGGTAGAGGAGGTCAATTGGATAGTGGGATGGCACTAGAACATTGGTGGTGGGCGCTGTGGGGCATCTACCCACATTGAAATAAGAGATCCTCCTGGAATTGATACAATTTGTAAACCAATGGTAAATCAAGAAATTTTTTTAATGATGTGGGTGAAGTTTCTTCATACTCCTCCAGGGAAAAATCACTGAACTTGGGAAAGCAGTTCACAACTTGGGGTTTTATTTCTTTGCTTTCTAAATCTGGTAAGTGAGCATAAATTACCCAAAAATCAGACAGCCTGCAAAATAACATTATAAAGCAAAAATTATTTCATTAATAATATTATGTCAAAGTATTACAGTAGGTCATTAGAAATCACTATGTATGTTAGTGTGCTTGAATATAGAAATCATATTCGTTAAGTCTTTTCAATCAGGATATCACACCACATACAAACTTTAACCGCTGCGGTTTGGAGACGGTGGCCCTCATTTCTTCCAGCATGAAAGTGAACATGGGTACAGTGGAGCAACCCCACCTTTAGATTCACCAGGATCCAGCACTCTCCAAACGTAAAACATAACATACCACTATCAGATCTACTACCTACTGGTCATCACTGAATGGTCCCACCCGGAGAAGCACCAAGCATGAGGCTGTTAGGACGCGGTCTCCAGCCGGGAGTTAGGCCCTGCACATGGTGGGTGGAAATAGCCACCTGCACCTTCTAACCCCCAGAGGCAGAGGCTGAGCGGGCTCAGGCCCTGGGGAGCAAGGCTGGGCTGGCTGTGCTCGCGGAGCTCCAGCCCCATACCTTGATAGAATTCCAAAGGGAGGAGACACCTCCAGAAGCACTCCCACGGCTGATGTCTCGCAGCACAGGGCTGTTGAGCAGCTCCACGATCATGGTCACCACATAGAGTTTCCTCCCTGATCGCCGGTATTGGTTCATGTAGCTGGGCTGTGGGTCCAACAGTTTCCTGGAGACATAAGGGAGGAGGAGGAGGATCAGAGAGAAAGTGATGCCTCCTCACATGACTCTGGATTGGGTTCCTCTTCAAGACCTGGGAGACTGCAGACTTTACATTGTCACAAGAGAGCCCACAATGGGCAGGACAACATTGGCTTAGGGCTTCCAGCAACCTGGAAACACAGAACAACCTCAGACATGCACAGAGGAGAGGCTGCAGTTCTGTGGTCAGATAAAAGACACAGGGTGGTCTCTTCATACTGTCAGAGACATCTGCATGTTCCCGAGTTAGACTGTCTGATTAGGGTCAGGTTATAGATCCCAGCACGGGGCCTCTCTCCAGAGGCTGGAGTAGCCACGCCCTGGGGCTGAGAACAGTCCTCAGGGGTGTGACCAACACACCAGGAGCCACGTCAGCACCATCTGGGTGAACGCAGGGCTGCCTCAGCAGGCACGAGGAAGCAGGGGTGCTGGTGATTGTCGTTGCCAGCGCAGGAGGGTGTCATGGAGTAATGTCCTTGCAGGTGGGCTCACTCACCTGACTGAAGACAGAGCTTTGGAGGGAGGTGGGAATGAGAGGATTGAAGCCCTGGAGACACATTTCATTTCCATTCTGATGTGAGAGTCAGCCCTGAGTCTACCCATGGTCCCACAGGACTGGCAAGGGGTGCCTCCCAGCCCCCAGCAAATCTTCACTCATTCTGGGCTCTCTGGCATTCTCTGGTGGTCTCCGCTTCTCTCCTTTCCCGTTCATTCTCTCTTCTCTGCTTCTGCTGGCGGCCCTGTGACGCCGCCCTTAAAAGACCAGTCTTAGCCCAGGTGAATCCCATCTACCTATGCCCACACCCTATTCCAGGTGCCCGCCATCAGGCATGCATTCAGGACAAGGATCGATCATCTACCCTGATGGTCGGAGGGCAGAAAAGCCTGATGCTTTTACCTTACTCTACAGGGAGGCCACTGAGCATCCAGGCTGGGATCTCCCGTGGTCCTTTCAGGGACACTCAAGCCCATTAGAGCATCTCTAGGTGCTCCATCTTCTGACATCTTCCTTCCAAGGCTTATTTTATTTCACCTTCCTCCAGGTTAACCAGGCTGTCACCACTGCCTCCCCACTAATCCTGAGGCCTCCCATCTGTGCCCTGCAGCAAGACAATCCTTCATCTGGGCCACTACCCTCTGCTCTTGCTCGCTTCTTTCTTTAGCTCTGAGCTCAACTGAGACCTAAACACATTCTCTTCCAGCCCCAATTCTTCCACCAGTTTCTGCTATTGTTGCAGAGCAACCCTGATTAAAACAGGTTGCCTGACGGTGGGTCCTCACCCGCACCCATAAAGGGGACGTATTCATGCTCAACTGCAGACACACAAAAAAGGTTGATCAGAGGTTTATTTACAAGGGAGGGGGAAATGGGAAATGAATAACTCATCTGAGAAAAAGAGGGAGATAAATTTGTAAATGCTTCCTACCCATTCCACGGACCTGGAATCCCAATGACCCACATAGCTGGTGAAAAACCAAGCACAGCATGTGGCCAAGAGGATGTCCCAGCCACATGGCCAGTTAAATACTCAAACCAAGAGCCTAGTTGCTTAACTCCGCCCTCAGGTCCTCACAACCCTCCCTCTGGTGATCATGGGATTTGTAGTTCCCAGGGTCGTGGGGGTGGAGTCCACAAAGCCTGCATGGAGTTTGCTCAGGACATCCTGTCCCCCTAACACCATGACTTCAGGTTTGGGATCTTCTTTATCAAGATAATGGGAGGGAAGTGTGTGGGGAAGTAGGAACCCACCTTCTTCCAGTGAATGATCACCTGCTGGATGGAGGGTTGATGAACAAGCTGGGAATCCATTACCAATGATTCTCCCGCATCATCAAACTAAGCTCCACTACTAACCCAGAGCCTGATTCCCAGGCCCCTGCTCAGAATTGAGGGGCTACCCTGGTAGCAGCCGATTTCTCTCCAGCCTCAGGGGAGCTCTCCCCGAAGGGCAGGGCTATCATGCTCTGCCACTTCTCGTGCTAGGGCCCGAACAAGGCTCTGGGGCTGATCAGGGCTCAATCAGGAGGCAACGTGTTATTTCACACTAACTGAGGAGCTTCCCTGTAAGACTCAGGGGAACCAAAGCCTCCAACCTTCCTGGGTGTGTTCATCCTCCAGGAATGGCAGCTGCTGTGTCCAGGCCCCCCTCACTTCTCCACAACCTAAAGGAGTAACAAAGCACCCCTCAGGGAGAAAGACAACACGGCCAACAGTATGTTGGTGATGGTTAGTGAGATACACAGCTGGGTGGTTGTGGTTTTCTTTTCTCAGTTGTTCCTGAAGGACAGACTTGCCAGCAGAGAGCTATTCTATCATGGATGTTCATGAAAATCAGATTGAACTAGATTTATCATTTAATAATTCTTTGTATCGACAGAAATGCTATTTAACTAGATGTCTCTGTCTCTAAAATTAATATAAGTATTTAAGGGTTTCCTTTGTAAGATCAATTTGTGTGTTACCACATTCACAGAGTTAAATTCCGTGTCTGCACACTGCTGTGCACTTTATTTAAACAAAGAAGTTAAAGTCTTTGTTCACTGGATTAAATATTTTGCTAATATGCTTTTCAATGTTTATTTTCACACTCACTATAAAGTCCTTGATGTCACTAAATGTAATATGGTTTAGGACCCAGATTTTCACTTGGATAAGTAATAACTGGTTTTCACATTTTCACATTGCATAAGTACTAACTGTTAGTTTAATGAATGAATGAATGAATATTCAAAAAAAGCAGCACGGGATGCCAATTTCTTCATTGTGAGTCTCAACAACAAATCCTGCTAGATGCCTATTTACCAAACAGCAGAGCACACCCCAGGGCTCTGCGGACCCATCCCCTGTGACTCCCATGTCCTCACCTCTTTCTGAGGTCTTCTAATTTTGCATCTGCGATTTCAACCAACTGATACTGGAGGGAGGATTCTTGGAACTGAGAAGCTTCCACCCCAGCCTTCGCCTCTGCCAGAGCATCCACAGCCACATCAATCTTCACTCCCCTGAGCCTAGTGTCACTGAAGTGCAATGGTCCATGCACATCTATCTCTAGAGGAGAAAAGGTGGGCTTAGGTTGAGTCAAAAATTAAACCCAGAGCAAATGGTAAACTAACAGAAATGGAATTTCCCTTTCCATTCAGTGTCTCCATGGAGCAGTTAATGATTAAATTAATGATTAAGTGTAAACTACCACTGAGGGGAAGTATTTCATCCACCCAAAGGTCCTGTAACAGCAAGAATGACCTGATGTTAATCTCTGAGGATGTGACCTGGGCACTGGTCCAGGAGACACGCAGCATCACCCATGCAGCCCGTCACTCCTCTGCAACGGGAGCAACATCAGCCCCGGAGGCCACACATGTGCAGAACGTGGTTAGTATTTGAAACCAGCATGACCTGAGTAAGGACGCTAGTTCCATCGACTCCCAGGCATGGAACTGGAGCAAATTCTTGTACAAACTTTCATTTGTTGTTATGTAAAATGGGGATACTATTCCAGCTCAAGAGACTGTGGTAGTTGTGAAATGAATGATTATATGCCTTTCTTAATAATTAGGAACTTCTCAAGCAGTCAGAGCTCCAAGTCCTTTGCCTGTAGGCAAGGCTGATGCTAGGATCAAACCTTGAAGGTGGCTCATAATTGCTGGGAAGTGGTACCACCTCTATCTTACAACAGTGATTTTCAACCTTGCCTGCTATGCCTGTGATTAATACCTGGTAGTGAAGAACTTGGTTCCAGAATATCCAAGAGGGAGAAATCAAGTGGCCTATATCCTTTCTTCAAAAAACCTGAGAAACGCTTCTCCTCCTGGAATAAGGAATACAATTTCACGCGGGTGGCATGACTTGCACATGTGACATGCTCCGTTTCTTTGTCTCCAACTTCTTTTGCCATAATCTTGCTAATATTCTGAAAAATGGGCATGTTCTAGGAGCAAATAGAAGAGGGTTACAGTAGTCATTTGGGGCTTACAGATGAGATTAAATAGGTATTTCTGTGTCATTTGAGAGAGTGACAATGACTTCCATACTATATGGAGAGATGGGTCTTTGTAAATCAAGTGGATGCACATGCAAAGGATGTCCATGGTAGTAGCTATAAGTTCCACTTCAGACAACATCAAGGATTCACCAGTCCCTCCTGCACTGGGCACAAATGTTCGCATACTAGCACCTCCCATCAAATCATTGCCCCAGCTCGGCCTCACAGGGACTGGCCCTAATTCAGAGAGCATCTGCAACCCCTAGGTGAGAATCCCTTATGCTAGGCTGAGTTGCCAGCTCTTAGGGAGAGGACAGAGGCCTTAGTCACAACCTTCTGAGACCCAATTACTCAGCACAGACCCCTAGCTGCAGATAGAAGTGCATCTCTCTCTGCGCTCAGCTCATAGGATCTCCTATATCAGGGATCTCAGCAACCCTCTGCCTGCCTGGTCACAGCAATAGGCCCTGACCCACCATCCTGACTGAACCTAGGTTCCAGAAACCCAGTATATTAACCCAGCCCCTGCCAGGCCTCCCAGCCACCAGAACAAGCCAAACATGCTTTGCGGGAGGCTCCAGCAGCACCCCAGATCCTACAGGCCCCTATAGCTGTTCCACCATAAATGAAACTCTCAGAACGGTGCAGGAGAAGGAATCACACACAACAGAGGCCCAATACGACAGAGCAAACCCAAAACAAACAATGGGGAGAAGGATAAATACAAATGGCCACGGCAGCCTTAAGAGGAGCAGCACACGATGAGAGAAAATCAAACCCATAACCCAACAACCCCGAAACAGAAGACCTCTTCTTCTGTCAGGGGAAGAATTTTAAATTGCCATGGTTAAGAAAGTCAAAGAACTCAAACAATGCAAACAAAACTAAGAAAAAATCAGGTCTATAAGAAGATGCAGAACAGAAAAAGAATACTATGAGAAATATAATCAACAAACAGGAGATAGATTGAAACTTTAAATATGAAAATAAAGGAAATGTAAAAAATTCTTGCAAACGCCTTGGAAATTAATAGATGATAAAGAATAATGATCACATAAAAAAGGAAGAAGAGGTAGGAGAGATATAAAGGAAAAAGAATAAAGAAACACTTTAAGAATTATCTCACAGAGTGAGGAAAGGATATATGAGAGACAGAGAAATCTCAGAAGGAGAAGAAAAAGACAGTGGCACTGAGAAACTCTTCAAGGAAATAGTTGAACAAAACATTCCAAACGTGAAGAAGGAAGTGAAAATAGACATACAGGAAGCTATCAGGATGAAAGGACAGGATCTGCACTACCACTGTGATGTCCTGAGTTCCATCCCTGGCCAGGGAGCTCACCCACATGGCGCTACACCCCAGGTGTTCAAAGAAAAATAAATTTAAAAATTATTAAAGAGCAAATACCAGAAACACTATAGGAACAAAAGAATGGAGTGACATATTCAAAAACTCCAAGACAAAAAAAGTGAGTTAAAAATACTTGACCCTGCAAAGCTGTCTTTCCTAGATGAGGAAAACTAAGGGTCTTCTCA